TGCAATTACTAATAATTTTCTTAATTAAAACTTTAGAATAACTTTATTTTAATATATCATTGTAAAAATTAAAAAATATTTTATATTTGATTTGATTCGATCAAATATGATTTGATTTGACAAATATTTGATTCAATTTGATTTGATTCAATTAAATTGATCAAATTCAAATCAATTCAAATTGATTCAATTAAATATTTAAATATTTAAGTTCAATTCAATTCAATTTGATTTGAAAAAATCAAATCAAATTCAAATTGCTTAAATATTTATTTATTAACAATTCAAATAAATGCTTATTACTATATATTATAACATTCTTTATTATATAATTTTATACAATTAAAAAAAAAAATAATAATAATTATGTTTTTTTTAATAAAATATAATACAATTATGTTAGTTATATATACAATAATATTATATAGTAATACAAATATAAATTAAGAATAATTATTACTAAACTCTAGACTTAAAATGGTTTTCATTTTCTAGTATATAATATAAAAACAAGATTTTATTAAAATCTAGAAAATAATAATCATTTAAAGTCTGAACTCAAATTTGTATATTATATGTTATTATTATTATCTATATCTTAATAATATAACATTGATTTTTATTTGTTAATTTACATGACGTGACAAATGGAAATCCCACATGCCTTTTAATTTTTCATATTAATTTCTAAAAGTATAATGTTTTATATTTTACTTCTGATAATAAAAATTATTAAAAAAAATAAATGATAATAAAAAGAGTAATTAAAACTTATTTTATCAAATTATAAAAAATCTAATATTTTTATTTTATAATTTATAAGTATCTTATTTATATAAACTAATTTAATATATATTATATTTAATTTATTTAATAAATAAATTATAACTAAAATATTTACTATTTTATATACTGTAAATAGATTAACTATGTCAATTATATCGGAAATATTAAAAATATTAAAAATATCTGAAATATCAAATATTTTTGTGAAATTATTGATTATTTATTATATTATATTTTTATTATTTTATATCAGTCCTATTACAATAAATAAAATAAGTATTATTTTTAATAAAATCTTAATTATATTAAAATAGACTATAAGAAAAGTATTAAATATCAATAAGGATTTTAAAAATATGAGATTTTTATTTAAAAAAAAATAGAAATTGTTAAAATAAAATAAAAAGTGAACTAATACTAAATTTGATAATATTTTAACCTAAAAACTATATTGATATATAAAAGTAAAATTGATCTTCTAATAGTTTTCTTTCTTTTTATTACAAAAGTTTTCATATTGATTTCACAAATAAAATAAATAATAAATAAAATAAATAATCTAGATCTCAAATATCTTATAAAATTTCTTATATAAGACATTTGGTCAATCTTATTCTAGATAAAATCAAAGTTTTTAGTAATCTAAAAATAAGTATTAGTTTTCAGTTTTCTTAACCAATATGTCATTATACTTCGCTTATGATTTTATAAAAATGATATTAATGCTAAATATTATACAAATGTCTTAATAAATCAAACTAAACTATTTTAATTAAAAGATTTGTTAATACATTCATTAACTAAAATTAAATATAATAAATAAAATAAATAAACAAAGTTAAATAAAAATAAGCATACTATTTTATCCATCATCAGTATAAAGAATAGTTATAAAATATCCATTCTCAAGATGCATTTGTTTATAAACCAAAGAACATGTTCTAAACGTCTTATGCTTGTCTCTTCATTTCATTTTCATCACCATGATTCATATCTTTGATAAAGGGTAGCCAAAACATAAACTCTGACTTTTAAATAAAAATTTCTTTTTTTAATAATTTTAAGGTACGCAATTTCTCAGTATTACTAGTAATACCAAACATGGTTTTTGGAGTATCATTATAGATTACTTCCATTGATGCTTCTAATTGAACAGTTGTTTCCAATCTCGTACCTTCATTAAAAGTTGGATCAGGTTTGATTATGCTTCCAAAACAACATGCATGCAAGATTTAAAGTTTAAAAGGCATTACCTTTTGGAAAGATCCATTTATTTCGTAGCTCTTCAATAATGAATTGTATGTGATGTCATTTGTTTCAACTATCCAATCAAATTGAAAAGTCCTTCGTCCATATTTGAAATTCAGCTGAATAGCTATATACAGTATACTAACCAAATGGATAAAGAAATGGAACAAGAGAAAATATTACGCAATTGTTCATTTATTAATTTCATTAATATCGAATATATTTAGCAAACGATCAGCCCAATTATGCTTTTTTTTTCATTTAACGACATTTTCTCCTCTTCAAACATGTCTCTCTCGGCCTCCACATCTTTTTTTCTTGATCGTTTTACATTGTTCTCCCGTCAACTTTAATTTCAATTCCAACACTTCAAAATTACTTTATTGCATATTGTTTGGGCGGTTTCCCGCCTAATCCAGTTTAGTAAATTTATAAGGTTTCACAAGATCTGAGTGTATGTAAATGTGCACTTTTTAGTAATTTTAAATCCTTGTGATAATGGCAATACAAACAAATTCAACAAAAAATCCCTCAGAACGCATACTTTATGATATAGATGTAGTCGCTGTTTGGAAACCAGAAGATGAATTAGGAGACCGAGAAGCTAATTCTCAAGTTAAATTATATACCGGCCCGAATGATCCTTCTTATTCTCAGATACCAAGGAGTATGTTTAAGCAAGTAACGCATCGCCTTGTTCGTAGCCTAGAAAAGCTTGCCATTTCTACTACAGTACCACGTGCGCTTATCCAAGCACGTCCGAGAGTAACTTCTGAGATAATTATGCAGTTATCACCTAATGGTTTATATCTAGCCGTATCGAGTGATCACAAAATAGAAATACGAACAAGTAAAAGTGGATTCGAAACAAATCATGCAATTTTTATTTCTAGGAGAGACACATTTCCAAAATGGAGGCGAATATCATGGAGCCCGGATTCTAAAATTTTAGCGGTTTCAAGAAGCGATGGAACAATTGAAATCATTGATGAAAATGGAGGATTAGTTTGTATCATATTATCAAGCACCAATATTAATTCTGATAGTGAGAAAGATGCACAAAGTGGATCGAGTTTTTTCCTCGAGCCGGTAGCATTTTTATGTTTTGTTGATCCGAAACGCGGTTCAAGTAGCACATTTGTATTTGACGGATATTTGTACCAATATGAATTATTAGTAGTCACTTTTGATGGTATTTTACGTAGCTATTTAATTAATACGATAGAATCAGCATTTACAGATTTCAAAGAAACTACGCGTCATACAAGATCCAGTATGACTTATTCACGTGAAGGACCTTCTGACCCTGGATATTTTGCTTTCTATCATAAATTTTCATTTAAGCAATGGTTATCTATTATTACGTGTGGTGCCGTTGTAACTTGGAATGGATTAGTGTTATGCCTTGGTGGTAAATCAAGTTTTGAGAATAAATATGATTCAACATTACCTTCTGTTACATGCTGGATGTTATTGCCTGAAAGGCCATTTTATCGAAATCTTGAATTGGAAGGTTCAGATGACGGTTCCATAAATGATGTATTACATTTAGACCAGGGAACGGTCGATGATTCTGGAATCCTATATCGATTAATAAATCTTTTTTCAACCTGGCGCAATACCAACAAAATTTTCACCGACGAAATTATTCTCAATACTATGTTGTCTCCTAATCAACAGAATCTATTAACATTGGACTTTTCTGGTACTGTAAAATTATGGAACTTATCTTTAAATAAAGGGCTTGAATTAAATAGATCTTGGGATCAACCTGAACTTAATTACTTTGCTAGGGGTAAAGAGTTTAAGGATTTGTCGTTAGAAGAGTTTATCGACAAAATTTTGGAAATCGAGAGTGAGGGTGGTGAAATTGCTGGTATTCCCGGATTTGATAATGGAAAAGTTGTATCGATTGGTTGGTGGTCAGATAATGCCATTATTTTAGGTTACCAATATGGTTCAATGATTATTGCCTGTCTTCCAGAAATGATCAACATATTGGGTGAATCCCCAGAATCTTTTAAATCCTGTCGCGAGATTACCAGTCAATGTAGTGATCGTTTTCTTGTTATTGAGCATGAAGTCAAAGCTGTTAAAGCTCGAATGATTAATGATGGATTTGTTCGATATTCAAGAGAACAGGAAGAAGGTGACATGGAAGATGACGAATCTGATGAATCTGAATCTCAATTAAGCAGATTAATAAGTGTTTTAGCGAATTATTTACATCATGTGACTGATACTCTCTTGTGGCATTTTGAAAATGATCCTTCCGAATCTCGCGGGAAAATTATAACAGTCTCTAGAAAGACGTATCGTCTTAATCGTATCTCCAAAATTATGCCTCAAGAATTATTAAATCGTAAGATAAACGCCCTAGATTACGATGATGCATTGGTGATAGCTGAGACATATGATCTGAATACTGATATTATATATCAGGCTCGATGGAAAGATGCCGAAGTTTCTGAAGCTGCAATTCATGATTACCTTGATAAAATCCACGATAGAGAATGGGTACTTTCTGCTTGCATACATACGTTTAGTAATACCCCTGCTTTACTAAGACTCTTGTTGAATTATGGTTTGAAAGGCACGGATATCTTGATCGAAATTTTAAATAATGGAACGTCATATAATAAGGATGAGATAATTAAATCATTGCATGAACGTCAATTCGAAGTCAACTCCAAGATGGAAGATTTTCTGACAAATTTACAAATATCTGAAAAAGAAATCATTATTTGTCAATATAGACATTATTTTCTAAAATATTTGGATCGATTACGCACATATGAGGATATTATCGAAGAGAAAACAAAACACGATATTGAAAATGGAACAATGGAGGATTTTGCAGAAGAAAATGACGGTTGGGTTACTTTTGTTGATTATACCTCAACGTTTGCTGAAGATTACGCCGTGTTTCGTGATTTGAACATTGCGGCTCTAGCCATGGATTATGCAACTGAAGAATTTTTCAAGGGATTAAATATTCTATTTACTCGTCATGGACCTGAAACTTTACCTTATCGTTTCACGATACTTGAGCAGATTCCAGAAACAGCTGATCCTGATGAATATGAATCCTTCTTACCTAGTGTTACTTCAAATAGTAATGGTGAGCTTGTTGAACGTTTGTGGAATGAGCAACCTTGGAGAGATTTAGATTGGGTTGATAATCCAATATTAAAAAAGCGAATATTACCCGAATTAGATTTATCAAAAGAATCGGAAGTTGGAGGGATAAGACTAAAACCAGTCGAATATCCGGCCCAATCAACTTTAATTACAAATTGGTATATTGATCGTGCTCATAAAATTGACTGTGTTTCGGGGCAAGTGGATAAAGCTCTTATACTTGTTCGTCACGGAAACAAAAAAAATGTAGTTAATCTTGAAACCTTGGAAGAAAATCTTGATATGTTGGCGAAGCTCGTTTACGATTGTTATCCAGATTTGGAATCAGTTAGTAAAAATGTGTCACTGAAAGAATTTGAAGCGTTGACTGAAGCCGAAATTATTCAAGCTTTCCTTCAACATACTAACGAAAAGCGGATTGAGAATGATGTTAAAAACTTTATTATCCCCTTTTTAAAGCTGTTACCTACTCGTCGTGCCCGCTTAAATCACATTATTAAAGACGATTCAAATGATAAAGTGTCAATTTCGAATCCAGAAAACGAACCGATGAACTTGCTTTATAATTATCTTTTGGATATTTCATTATCCAATTTAGAATTAAGTTGTACCATTTTTGAAGCATCAAAACCGGTTTTTAATACAGAAGAACGAATTATCACTTCTGATGAAGATCTTGCTAGGATTGCTCTTGCTTGTCTTTACGGAAATTCTAGCACTGATAATTGGGAAGTTATGACTCGTATTTATGAATGCCTCCCAATATTTGATGTGGAAGGAAATCGAACTAGTTTAGAAGTTAGTTCACTTCAAAGTTATATTCCACATGAACTTTTTCCATTGTTCAAGTCTAAAAATGAATTTCAACTTCAAAGCATAATTGATTCTCTTGAAATTCACTTAAATGCAGCGGAGGTGCTTGCACAATATGGTAATGCTGTACCTTTATGCTGGTTTTTACAAAGTTCGGAAAATTATGCTTTACAAAAACAATTATGCATCCAATTAGCACGGAAAGCTGGTGGTGGTCCTGAAAGTGGTGGAGAAAAGTTTGAAAGTGAAGATGAATGGATTTTATTATTAGAGAAAATTCTTAAGCTTCAAGGCAATGGAAATGGTGTTTTTGGAAAAATCTCTACCGAGGAAATATATAAAATTTTCATTTCTTCATTGTTGAGCTGTGGAAGTATCCTTATTATTAGATGATATGATTTATAATTTAGAAATATATATACACAATATTTATATCATATTATCCGTAACAATATTTTTTTATTTTTTTTTAGAATTTGGTTTTGCCCGTGAAATCATTTTGCCCACCGATAAACCACGACCTTTAGACATGGCCATTGCCGAGAAACTTGTAATTGATGCGTCAAGAGAATTCTTTGACAACGCCCCTTCGGGAAACATGTATCATGGATATATGAAGATGGCATATGATTGGTATGGCATTAATTTCAAACAGAAGGGATGCCTTTAGAGTTTTAATTAATACATTTTTTTATTTAAAAAAAAGTCTCCAGATTTTACCAATTTCTGATAGCATTCAAGCTGAAGTCGAGTTCATTGAAGCGACTCATAAGCTTACGGAGCAAAAAGTTTATCATCAGCCCGGAATTCCGATACACCCTATGCAAATTCGACTTGCATCGAATAAATTAGATTTGATTGCTCGTTTATTAAGTACGAATGAGGAAATTTATTATGACTATAAAACCATTATAGAGCTTGCAAAGAAACTAGGTTATAGAAACGATAAAGTAGCGGAAATCAAAGTTATGGCCATGCTTGCCGATACTGCAATACGTGATTCTAATCTCAGTTTTGCATATAATATGTGTATTGACATCATGAAATTAATCAAGTCGATTTCAAATGTAAAAAACGATGAAAAAAAAGAAGTCATACTAAAATCTGCAAAGGATGTTGCTTGGAGAATTTGTTATGAAGTTGCCAAGCAAGAAACATTTCAAAATTTAGAAAAGAAAATGACACTTATGGGATACGCTCTTGCATTATGTCCTAGCGATCAAGCAGTTGATATTTTGAATGTTTGGCGGAAGATAGATGACGAATATAGATCAGAATTAATTCAAAAGGCCAGTGAGAAATCCATGGACAAACCTAAATCAGCAAGGATCAAGCCAGTGGTTGAACGTGTTGAATCAAGCTTATTAACACCTTTACTGCAAGGAGATCGAATCAAGAGTGTGTTCAGTAGATTCTTTTAACGATTTATTTTATTTGAAAAATTTAAATGTATATTATAATTTATAAAATAAAAAAAATAAATAATTTTAATAATTTTACATATATAAAGATCGTTTGCCGTCATTAATCACTAAATAGGTAACATCATAAGAATGAAATCCCTTACACCAGGTACATTATTATAAGATATGCATTGATGTTATCGGATGAATCGTCCATCATTTAATTTCTAAGTATTTTTTTTTATTATGCATAAAATGAAATGAAACTTCATACCTTATTGGTCAAAGTGCATTATTTGTAATTAGATTTACCTTTTTAGATTATTTAATTAAATACAAAAATACATGATCTACAATATGCGGTTGTGTTTGTATTAATCTCTCTTTTACAGTAAACTATCGTTAAGACCTTCTTTCCCAGTTTAATTATCCTGTCTATCTGTCTTCTTTATATATATGATGGAAGTTAAGGTGTTTTGTTCCAACTGCATAATATTCGTTCTATTTTGTTTTAATGATTAAGTTATTTGTTCGCTTGTTACACTGCATAGCTACTTTTTGAACTTGACATTCATATATTTACGCAGCATAATAGACGTTTATATCACCAATGTGATATCTTAAAATTGATATGCGTTATCATGTGTAGTAATAACTAATTTTAATATTACTTTATTATAACACATCTCTCCATGATTATATCTATTTAAAAATACATAATTGTATTAATAAAAATTGTATAAAGTGTTCTATTATTCTCTACAAACAGAAATAAAAAATTTAAATAATTAATGTTTGTTAAACATATAATGTATATGTTACTCATACATTTTGAACGTTTTATTTGCTTATAAAGCCTTTTTGTTCATATTCTAACAGTTCATATTCTGCTAAAATTTGTCTTCGAATAACAAAAATTCCTTTCCGATTCCTCAAAACTGATCTGAAACTGATTTACTATATAATTTGAGAATTTTATGTGATAAAATCAAACGGAGTTAAATCAGCCCATATGCACGAGGTGATAAAATCAAATGTCGATCTTTATTATATTGTGATTTTCAAGTAATAAAAAGATTTGATATTTTTATTAAAAGAAACTCTCAATACTTCTATAGTAACAAATGAACTGTAATTGTTATTTCAATTTCAACCACTTTTGTTGAATTGCAATTCATGTGAACGTTTTTCAGGAATTTATGCATAGTTGAGAAATTTAAAAGAAAGGGTAGAACGGGTAGAACGAGCACGGTAGTCTCCATGTTTATTAGTAAGTATAATTCATTTCAAGAAAGTTTTTTTTAAAAAGCAACTAACTTGGAACGGAATTAATACATTGAGTGTAACCAAATCCTTGTTTTCTCTAATTATACACTTCTAACCTTTTATGTTAGTACACACGTTTCATATTTCATTATAAGTAGACCTCTGTCTGGTTTGACTTTAAGAAAATATTGAATTCCTTTTCTTCAGTGAGAAACACAAATATGGACCGATTTATTACTCTCATAATCACTCTCTTAATTTTCTATGCTAGCCTGGTTACTTCAGGTATATATTTTTATATCTCTCTCTCATGGAATTTCGACTCTTTTAACAAAAATTTCTTACCCTCTCTCTTTATTCACATTATTCGTATTTAGAAATCTTAATCAATACACCGGAAAGTCCATTAATTATAGGAAAAGTGGAGACCGTTAGCTGGTCTAGCGACACGCCTTTAGAAGGAACCGGCGAGTTACGCCTTATGTTTAATGCATCCGTAAATATTTTAGTAGACCTTAAGATGGACTTAAAACCCTTATTCTATAATTGGATAATTACGAGTCCACCTGGAACTTATTACTGGGGTTTATTTTCTACTCAAAAAGCCGCATTTTCTCGTGAATTTTCTATTATCAATGCACCCGATACAAGTAGTCCCACTACTGCAATAGCAACAGCGTCGTCACCAGGTAGGCTATTCATTTTGATTACTTTTTTTTTAAAAAAAATTACTTAACTTATGCTCTTTTTTTTCCTTTCAAGCGACAACAATAATTGTAACCAAAACCCAAACAATTATAAATAATGGTGGCCAAGGTTCATCGTTAAGTAAGGGAATCATTATAGGTGTTGCTAGTGTCGTCGGAATCGCAGCCCTTGCAGGCCTTTCTGTCTATGGATTTTTGTATTTCAGGAGAAGGAAATATATTCCAACACCTGGAGAAGGTTATAGATTATAAAAAAAAAAGTTAATCTAATAATAATAATAATAATAATTATAAGATGCTATACGCCTTTTTTTAATTTTTATTATATGTAATTCATATTTTGTACTATAAATAAATTTTTTTATTGGAATATAATATTTGTTATAATATGAAACAATCTTTATGCAGGGTCCAATCTTATATGAAATATTGAAACGCGGATCACGACGCATGATTTTTCACGGTGATCCCAGCGGCTGTATATTTATTTATAATAATGACTAATTAAAAAAATTTTTTTATTATGATTGGTTCATACGTGAATTGCCACTAGCAACATTTATCGAAAAATTCTAGAATATCCGTGACTTTTCTTTAGAATTTACAAAAAAAAAGATCTAGAATGTGTGTTTGAGATATTAAAAAAAATAGAAATTGACACTGTTCTGGCCAATCAAATAAATAATCACATTACACAACGCTACAGATTTTTTTCCGTATAGCTGATAGTAATAAATTCAAAAAAAATTTACATACAGCATCATTGAAACAATTTTTTAAATATTTGTGACACTGCATTTTCTTTACAAAACAGACCTTATAAGAAACACGACAGACGCAGGTTCGTGATGCATTGCATTGTTTGCGTTTAAAAAACTTGGATGCTTCAAGCTGTTTCCAATCGGAAAGTTCATATTCAAAAGTTACTTGTCAAAAGATTTTTATAATCCAAGTTGGCATTGCATTTTGGTACTATTACATTTGCGTGTTACGCCTACATTAAGACCTATCATTTACTTAGACAATAACAAGTCCTGTAAAGGAATAGGCTTCCACGTCAGCCTAAGCTAACTCTCTTTCTTGGAAGATATCAAGGAGAAAATTGCGAACACCATTAATATCTCTGTCAAGATTTGTTTTGCATTGGGGACCTTGGATCCGCCTGGATTTTTATGGATATAACTAAGAATTCACAAGTTTTGCTTGTGTATCTTCTGTACAATTATGAATCAGATGCTGAAGAAAGCGAAAATGTGAAACATGTTCACAATAGATCGGGTTGTCTTGCAACCAATGCGTCGTTGCCCTCCTTGAATGCAAAATTTGGGTAATAAAACTATACAATAATTTTCGCAAAGAGCCTTTAATGACAATCATCTAATAGACTCTTATTAATTCGTAAAATAATCTATAATAATTAAATGTTGTTAATATGTTATATTATAAATAATATTAAATATTTAACTAATAATAAAGCTTACCAGTAACTCTTACGCTTGTTTCTTTTGAATATGATCATGGAGTTTGTCATATCAGTCACCGGACATGTCGCATGTCGATCATAGCAAATAAAATTTTATATTTTCGCAAAAACATTTTTATGAATTTTAAAAGTTGTAAAGTTTGGTTCTCTTCAAACATATTGTCTATTTTATATCGAATTTAATTTGTAAAAGTATAATAGACAATTTTTAACATGAAAAATATGTTATACTGGCTTAAGATTTTGAGTTTTAATAATTGTTTTTTTGCTGTTAATTAATTTTTTTTTTAAATAAAATTACTATTATAGATATTTCATATTTATTTAGAATAATATATTAATTTAATATAATGTAGTATATTTGAAACTTTTTTTTACCTTTTCTAATTAGAATTTACAATATATTGTTTAATGAATTAACATTTATTTGATATATTTAAAATATTATAAATAAAAAATTGTTTATTATAAATATAAAATTATACTTAAAAAAAAATTTAAAATTTTAAAAATGATAGAAAGTTTTGCAAATACTCCAAAATATTGATACTTTTATCCGATTATAAAGAAGATTTTACTTTTTTATAAGATTAAAATTCTTTTAAAGTTGTTCATTTATTATTATAAGATTTAATAGATAATACAAATAGTAATGAAAATAGTAATAGTAGTGAAGAATTGGAAAATAATTTAGCAATTCTTTCTATTAATACAAAAAGTACAGAAATAGAACAAGATATAAATATATTACAAATAATAGAAACAGAAAAATCTGTGTTATCAGTTTGTGCAATAATAGATATTATTGATGGAAAAATAAAATATTGTGAAGAAAAAGATAATTTACGTGAATTATAACAGTTAACTGGAATGTGACAATTAGATAAATTTATAGTTAAAAGTGTAAAACATTGTTTATATTGTAGAATTAATTATTATTTTTTTAATTATAATAAATTTTATGTAGATCATTTTTGAAAATTAATAGAAAAATATATATAAGTTCCTTGTATAGGTCAAAAACTTATAATGTAACAAAAAAATTTGATTCTATTATAATTTAATCATAATTAGATAATAAGATATGATATATTTGTTGTAATTGTTATAAAAAGAAGGAGAACACTTATATAAAAAACCTGAACAAGGTAAAAAAGCAATTAGTTATCATATTGAAAAAAAATATGATCAAATAATAGTTTTTCATTAATACTTATAAGTAAAGATGAGAAATGTAATTAATATATTACAATTTTTAATGTTACAATGAATGTTGCATTTTGTTTTAACCTATATATATTGCAACTTATACTGTTTCAATATATATTACATTTAATTTTAGCTTATATTGCAACATTTGTAAATTTGAAATCAATTGCTGTATTATCTTTATTTATAAACAATTAAATTAAATTAATTGCTCAAGAAATAATACATAATTACAAAATAAAGTTTTACATTCTATTATACTAATCTTTCAAGTTTTTAAATTCATTAATGATCAAATAGATAAAGCTATTACTTTATTACAAATATCATTATATTAACAATTAATTTCAAGTTTATTTAATATAAAAACAATATTTAAATTATATAATGATAAATTAAATAATTCTAAAATAATTATACCTGAAGAATATTTACAAATGAGATCTAATTTAACTAAAATTTTTAAAAAATTTCATTTAGAATTTATTAATAAAATACAAATAATAGAATTTTCTAATTTTTTAGATGAATATCAATCAGCACTTTCTAAATCTTTATATTTCTATTAGAAGAATTAATAAATAATTTATTAAAATATAAGAAAAAAAAGTAGATAAAAAACAAATAGAAAGAAATAAATTAGTAAAACCACTTAATCAAATTAAAATTAAAAAATTAGTATATTTTTATCTTTTATAATTCTTTCTTTAACTCAAAAAAAGAGAAAAATTTAGTTACCAAAAATACTTTTTAGTTTTTGTCATAAACCTAGATCATTATCTTCATTACATCAAATTCTTTAATCTGTAAATGTAATTTCACATACAAATCGTCATAAAAGGTAATAAGAAAAATAAAAAAATAATAATAACTAATTCTACTTTATGTTTAAAAAAATAATAATATTTGAAATCTTTGTATTATTGATAATATTGATTTTAAAAAAAATTCATTTACTTATAATAATATATATAATATAATAAGAACAAGTACACATGCTACTTTAAGAATAATATTTCAATTTGAATTACCAAATAATATTGAACAATTAATGATGATATAATTCAACTTAATGATAAATTTATTTATTTGGTTTAAATCAACTTACTGAAGAAGTTTTCAATTATTAATTGATCAAATTCTTAATTATAAACAAAATAAAGATAATTTAATAGAATATAATGAATTTGATTTTAATTTAATTAATAATAAAATATTTGAATAAATTAATATTAATATACATTAATGATATAAGAAAAACTGAAATATTTAGTAATTTAATAAAACTGAAATATATTTAGTTATTATTTTTCAAATGATAAAAAATTTAATTATATCAAAATGTTAAGTCATGCACTGGATGAAAATGATGATAAGATTACATCTGAAACTTAAATTTTGGTATCCTATTCAGAATTTTAGTATCCTGTTCAAAATTTTGGTATTCTGTTTGGAATTTTGATACCTATTATCATTTTTTTTTAACTTAGCGTTTATGAGAAAGGAATGGCTCTAGAATTAATTCTTATATATTGTGAAATTACTGGTATACTAGAATGTGATCTATAGCTTTTAAACTTTATTGTATACATACAGAATTTTGGTAACCCGTTCAGAATTTTGGTACCCATTACCATTTTTTTTGACTTAGCGTTTATGAGAAAGGAATGGCTCTAGAATTGATTCTTATATATTGTGAAATTACTGATATACTGGAATATGATCTATAGATTTTAAACTTTATTATATACATACAGAATTTTGGTATCCACATTAATGTGAATACCAAAATTATGACCTTGTTAGATGAATATGAATCAGCTTTAAAATTAATTCTAGGATATCACGAAATATTGTATGCATTTTAGGCTTGCATTAACAGGTCTAGCTCAAATCGTATTATTTTGTTTCTTGATTTTTGATGGCACCTTTAGAGGCAAGCAGAATAGCATAAAAGTTATTATTCATATTAGATTTGTAATGTCAGGCCCAGCTCAAATCACATCACTTTGTTTCTTGATTTTTGATGGTTCTTCCTGAGGTAAACAGAATAGTAAAAATTTTTGATATATTATTTAGGATTAAAATCAGGTTAGAATGGCTATATCAAATAGTATAATTCTTGATATCTGAAGGTTAATTTCTAGCTAAGTTCAATATCATCATCTATATTTAAGTTAAATTGCACTAGAGGCTTGAATTCAATAATTTGTTCATATAGCTAAAATGGATTCGTGAGCGCTCAGGAATCTTTCTGAGTACTATTTGGAATTTTGTCTCAGAACTCCCAATTTTGCCCTACTCGCTTATTTGATTAATAATGATGATATAATTACTCAAATGCGTAAATAATAAAAATGGCAAGATCGTTGAAAAAATTGTACAAAAATATGTACACAAATAGATAAACTTTTAATTGTTCAGATATTTATTTACTATATATTATTAAGTTATTAATAAATTTTATTAACAATGATTTTTATATTTTAGAACAATTGACAACTGCAAATATTACTTCTATATTTCCTCTTATTACTAACACATTTGTTATCATTATTTTTAATGCTCAATTATATATTGCAAAAGTAATTGCAATAAATGAACGATAGGATAAATTTCATTCTTATGTATCTTAACCAATAATAAATATTCAAGAACTATCATATATATACTAACCTATATTAAATTACCAGATTTATAATCACGTGATTTATCGCATCTGTAACAAATTCGTGATTTCTCCCTAATATACATAAAAATAATAAAAAAAATAATACATACATATTCTTTATCTTCTTCAAAATAGAAATGCGTAGAAATGAGCTGTCTGAAGCTCAATGTAAAAGAATTATCAGTGCATATCTGAGTGGTACTAAGCAAACGGTTATTTTAATTCAGCTTGATATTCCTACTAGCACTGTTAATGATACTATAAAAAGATACAAAGAAACAGGTTCTGCAATATCTAAGAAGTGTTCTGATCATCCTAAAATACTTAATTAACGTGATAAATAGACCCTACAACGTATTGTTCAAAATAATCAGTTTGCTTCTCTTAGTAATATAACAAGCAGATTAAACTCTACCACATTGCATAATAATACTGTTAGAAAATACCTTCATGATGAAGGCCTTGATAGTTATGTTGCTCATAAGAAACCCCTTTTAACCCAAAAACAGCAAAAGGATAGGTTAAAATGGAGTAGAGAGAAACGAAACTAGGATGATTAATGGAAAAAGATAATATGGTCTAATAAGTCCAGATTTGCTCTTTTTAAATCAGAGTGAAGAATAAGAGCTTGAAGAAATCCTGGAGAAGCTTATAATAAAATTGTATCTTACCTACAGTTAAATTTGGTGGTAGTTCAGTGATGTTTTGGGGTTGTTTTGGTTGGTATGAAGTTGGACTTTTGGTTGTAGTAAAAGAAAGTATAGATTCTGATACATATATCAATATTCTTGTTAACTACTTCATACTATAGGTTAGTAACTATCCTAACTCTATTTTTCAGCAAGACAGAGCTCCATATCATACATCAAATTATAGCATTTGGTGGATAAAAATACATAATATTTTAATCTTAGATTGGGTGGCACAAAGTCCTGATCTTAACCTGATTGAGAATCTATGGAATCATTTAGATCAGCAGGTTAGAAAAAGAAAGCCTTTACCTAAATGTAAATAGGAATTAATAAATATAATTCAAGAGGAATTGAGAAAAGTTAGCATAGAAATGGTACATCACTTAATTTTAAGCTTATCTAATCGTGTTAATGCGGTAATTAAGGCTAAAGGCAGACACACTAAATATTAGTCTATTAAAATATAAATTTTATTTTATAATAAATATAAAATCCGCGAATTATTTTGGCATAATTTTTATTGTTGGTTATTTATTACACAAAAATTATATTTAATTGATAACTAAAATTGTAATCTATATATAATTTTAATATATATAAAAAAATCCAGTAATTTAATGTAGTTTAGTGTATCTCTTCAAGTATTTACACTTGTTCAAAGTCATATTTTTACAGAGTTTGATAAAAATGGGTATTATCTTTTTTCACATTGTGATCTGATACACATTGTTTATAATATTGGAATAATTAATGTACAAATAGAAAAGAATATTCTTTTTTTAAAAGGAATAGCTAGAACTATATTTACTGATCTTAATAATATTAAAATTTGTAAAGCTTTAGCAGACTTTTGATCATATATAAAATAAAATTGTTACTGCTTATGTTATAGATTAAATTTGTATATTTTATTAATTTTATAAAGTTATAATTAAAATTTGTATAGAGATCATAATAAAAAAAATGTATAGAAATCATATAAAAAAATTTTTTTTGCCTATGACCTATCTTATAAGTTTCCGGGATCCTTGCTATACCCACTATTAAAAAAATGACAACATGATATAAGTAGGTTCCTGATGACATTAAGCTTTATGTTGATGACCCAAAAGGGATAGCAAAAGCGTTAGAACAAGATGATATGATTTCTAAGCATTTTAATATCGATTACATTGAAGAGGGTCTCATTCTTATATATCCCCAATAGTTAGAATTTTTTTTTATTATGTATCAGCGATATATTCGCAATTTTTATGTATTGCAAGCCGGCTTATTTCAATAAAGTATTATTTTATCAGTACATCGAGAAAGCAGGTCACGTGTAATGATGCAATGCATGTGCGACATAAAAACCTATATATCGCGAAAATGTAATCATATATAGTAGTCCGCAAACATTAGCATAGAAACTTCATGGGCAAAGACCCGAACCTTTGTATTTATTCAATGTATTGCAAATAAAAAACGTATCATATAATTTTCATATATGCTTATTTGATCAGTAATGATAAATTACTATACGCTAATTTTTTTGATTGCCGAGCTAATGTAATCTAATACAGGGGTAATTTTGTAACTCAGGATCAGCTAATTAATGGACAATATGATTGGATCCCAGAGTGAGCTTGCTAGCGAAAATCCAGGGATTTTCATGTTTTGCGATGATCGTAGCGATTAACTGCGAAAGAAATATTAATTATAAAAAAGCTGGATGAATCAGATGCGTCTGGTAAGAAAAAAAAAATATTCTTTCAAATAGTGCACATTTTAAAACTGCCAATTCAATCAATCAAACCAATCAATCTTTCGCGTATAAACCCTTATTAATCAAAATACAATTTTCGCGCATAAATCTAATAATCGAAATTAGCAATAAAATGCTCTCGAATTCCGATATTTTATTACTTGCATTTTTTTCCATTTCAATGCTAATTTATGAGATGGTTCTCCAAGGCGTCTTAACAATGGAGACACTTTGAGGCATTTTTTCGGGAAATGTCATAATATATATATTTCTTGTAAGAGTGTTCTTATTCCTACGCAAATATCTATCATCAACTCCGGCAAAATCACAAAATCGCCAAACTTGAAAAATCGATATTGGCAATAAATAATGAATTATCTGATCACGAATGGGCAGGAATTTGGTGCAGTATATCAACTGGCAATAAAATCATGTGCCGAATTCTTAGAGTTAGGCGCAGTATCGTACACCTAGCAATAAAAAAATCAAAACACTTTTATTATAATGCATTAAGCAAGACGGAATGGAATATCATGAATCATAGCAGTAAGTATGAATCGGGTCGAAAGGCGCTTTGCTAAATACTGTATTGCTTATTTTTTTACCACAGTTATTAATTCCTGAATTTGTGCTATAGTTTCGAAATTACTCAATATTGAGAAAGTTCTCTTGCGGGGAATAGTCAAAAATTCTATAGATATGGGCGGGATAATTGATTTCGGAAGTCTAGTGAAATAATAAGATGCTGGGACTCTCATTTATGGCCTAGGATCCCCCTCTTTGATAGCATCACTTATTTCACTCGCTACTTCATATTTGCCATTACTATTACTATATCTGAAAAATTATTAATAAAGTTTCGCCTCACATTTCAGACTTCAAATTTTAAAAATTGAATTTAGTGACGTAATTTATGGATCGTTTGACTACAGTAGATTTCTTATATATACCCAACATTTTTTTGCAAATTTTTTCTTTTTTCTGAAACTGTACTGTACTTTTGTTCCACTATATTTTTTTTATGTCTACAAGTACTACTAATCCCTCGGTCGAAGATGTGGAAACATTTAACACGGAGCAACTTATCAATTTTTTACAAACAAAAAACTTAGGACTTGTTAAGAAAGAATATAAAATTTTTCGTAGGGAAAGAGTTAATGGTCGCCAATTTCTTCTACTGACCAGAGAAAGACTTCTTGCTGGTCCTTATAAATTTCCTGGGGGGCCGACTGAAGATCTTGCAAAGCTTATCGATGAGTTAAATAATCAAAGTAAGTTCTATCATAAAGTAGTTTGACTTTGTACGCCTCGCGCAAGGCAGTTATTTTATTACTCGCTTCTATGATTTATCTGTCTGTTATATAATCATATAATACCATATACTTAATCTTGTGCTTTTCTTCGAATATACTCATTTGTCATTATATAGGGCTCCTTTCTCTTAATGAAGTTTTATCATGTATTCCACCACCTGTTGACTATCCTCCTGATACTAGTACCTCAATTGACTCAACAAGAGTGGGTGGCATTTGGCCTTCAAGAATAACACGTTGGGAAGAAATTTTAACAGCAGTAAATCAGCACAACTTTGATGAAATCAAGAGATTTGAGAGACCACATTTTAATGAAGATCTGAAAATTGTCGTTGAAACAAACGTATATACTGCTATGGAAACAAATATGTTTACTGTATTAAACAAAGTAATGGAGAAATATTTATTTTGGAAGCAGAAGGACTCTGACTTCCCAAGGGATGACCCTAATATTGGTCCTTTCATTCCAGACTACACTTGTCGTCTCATTAACAATGGGATTCATGGGAGACAAATCTTGGCACTCGAAATCAAGAGACAAATCATTGTAGAGGGGTTGGTGCAAATCAGTAATGAAGACCTTGAAGAAGAAAATTTCAGTGGACATTTACATAACGTAATTCGGCAAATTTACAATTACCTATCATCATCACAACTTCAATACGGAACACTTTCAAGCTATGATTATCATTGGTTCATGTATCGACCAAAAAATAATCATACAGAGTTACACATTTCACATGCTCTTCAACGTGATTCAACCAGTCCATCAGTTTTTAAGGCGTATGCATATCTAGCTCAGTTAGCAGAAAGAGATCCCACATCCCCACATCATAATATAATTAATCGTGGTAGGAGACAAAATTTACCATTACAAAGCTCCGAGAATATCCAGATCCCCAGAAGTATAGGCAGTTCTCATTCTGGCTCAAATGTGTCATCCATGTTTTCTGGCAATCGGGAAACACGGCAACAAGATAATGATGAAACTACGGAACAGGATTTTGACTTTTCAGAATTTAAGTTTAAGAGTTTTTTAGGACATGGGCAAACCGGAGGGACTTACCGATGTGAATTCTATAGACAAACAATAGCTTTGAAGGCTTTAGATCTTTATAAGAATGGCCAATGTTTTTATCAAATGCAAAAAGAAATCGAAACATACAAACGTCTTTCTAAAATTCAAGGAAAGTATATCCCAAAATTGGTGTGTTATGGTTATTATGGTGGCGGGATGGGCTATGTTATGGGTACAACGATAGTTGGCACTATGTTGAGTTTCCATAAGATAAAGCAACAGCAAAAAAGTAAGGCTCTCAAGGCATTAAAAATAATTCATAGTCATAACATTCTTCATAATGATATTCGAAAAGAAAATATCTTAGTTAACGAAAAAGGTGATATATATATTATTGACTTTGGGATGTCAATTGTAACTGATAAAAAGAAGCTGTTTTGTCAAGAGGAATCTGAATTATCCCGTTTATTAAATCTCTATATGTAGTTAATATTTGCTATGTAAAATTCACATAGTTTTAATCTCGATTGTAACTTCCTATATTACACGATTATATACAGTATATAATTAATAAAGTAATAACTAATAACTATTTGCTATATTATGCAAAAGTAAATAAATGTAATTTTTAAATGTCATTTAATAATGCGCAGTTAAATTTATAACGAGATCTGGATTCGAGTGATGCACAGAAAAAACGTTCTAGGAAGTCAGACGTATCTACTGAAAAATCCTCTAGTAAGAAAGTGAAAAGGCTGGTGGGAAGAAGGTGTTGAGTATGCTGAAAAAACTTATTGAAGAGTTGTTAATTGATATTCCCGATTCCCAAGACAAAATGCTCTGATGAAGCTTTGCGAAAAAGGACGAAAAGACTAAGCTTTTTAATAGCATAGGTAAAGAAAAAATAGCTCGGATTAGATCTATCCCCCTATCATACGTCTTAAATCTAACTACAGATGAAACCAAATGTGTAATGGCTGAAATCTTAACACATAAGCTTGTCCAGCCTCAGCCATCATTTTTAGGAGAATATGGTTCTTTTGAAGACTTTAGCTAAAACAATTTAATAAAGTCCTGCCCCACAATTCGGAGAATGTGTAATGCATTTGGAATATATAATCGTAAAATATGTGAAGTACTGCGCTATAAATTATCACTTGACATACTGTACTACACCACACAATTCATAATTTTGACGTTATTCGTAATCATTTTCCCGAATTCCCATAAGAAATCTCACTCCGGAACGTAACACTATTCTTTATACGAGCTAATATCCCTATAAAAGCGCTATGTCTCCCGGAAATGAGACGTTCTCATTGGCGGACGATATTAAAAAATATGACATTGAGAAACTTATCTCGTTTTTGAAGGAGCAAGAGTTTGGGCTTAGCGGAAAGGTTTTCGAAATATTAGAAAATGAAGAAGTTAATGGTCATGCCTTCCTTAAAACAACCAAAGAAGAGTTTCAAAATTATGGTATTCTCGTAGACTTCACTAAGGAGTGTAAGGATAAAAAATTAAAATCGTTCTCGTCGTACCGCAGTTTGAAGGAAGTGTTGAAAAAATATGATATAGATGGAAAATTAGAAATGGTATAGGCATGATCAGACAATTTCCACCGGTAAGTTCCCTCGTAGGCTAAGCTTACCTGGAGAAGTTAAAATTTTTTTCTTGATAAAATTCATATATCTTTCAAACGAATGTGTGAGCCTGTCGGAGATGTGGGAAATTTCATACACAGCCATTAACTTCTTTTTCTTTATAGGTGACCTACAAGCTCGAAGACGACGACGAAGAATTGGTAAAATGTATAAAGGAAATAAAGCGCAGGCTGGGGAATATGGGGCCTATGCTTGCCGATAGCAACGAAGCCATGCGCTGTGAATATATTTCGGCCATTTTCCACGCCTCGCTATATATCGTCAAAAGAATAACCAAAAAAGAGCTTACCTTGGCACCTCAGCTCGAAGTTGTCGGTGAAGAAAGTACTGGTCGAGTTGATTATGCAATCAAGGCCCTTGAGGAATTTATTTGCATCACGGAAGGGAAGTTGCATCAAGTGGTTATGGGTTTCGCTCAGAATTTGATCCAGTGTGAAAGTGCCTTGAAAGAGAATTCGGAAGAAGAGAGGAGTTGTGCAAGAATGTGAAGCGGTAATGGAGGTCATAGTTAGTTTGTTAAAGGATAGGGTGGATGTTGAGAAGGAGCCGGTGATGAAGAAGCAACGGGTTCGAAAAATGGGAGTGATCATGTTTATTTAGCATAGATGTTATGTATCACGGGCTACGTCCCAAACTATGTATTTAATTTTCGCATGTATTAATAAATTTTTTTCTTGGCAAAAGTTGCTGACCATTGGTCAGGATATCACGTGAATTTTTAAATTTTGAATACTAGAATAAATATTATTATTATATTACGCAGGCATGCAATCCGAAATAGATTTATTGAAGCAGCGAATTACCGAGCTTGAGGCTGAGAAAGCTGAGCTCAAGGCCAAAAATTCTGAGCTTCTAAAGCAGGTTATAGAAGAGACCACCAAATACAAAGCTGAGAATGGTGAGCTCATGGCTAGAATCGAGGAGTTGGAGAAGGGTAGAACAGATACTGCTGTCGAGAATGCTAGACGTGATGTTGAGAATGCTGAGCTCAAGGCTAGAGTTGTGAAATTGGAAAAAGAGCCCAGACAGACACAGGATGATTTATCTCCCAAGGAACCTGTCGACATAACAGAGTCTGTAACGTCTGTAGCAGTCCAGCTCAAACATCATTCACCTGTTTATGAAACAAATGATGCAGTACCAGAAGAACAGTTATCTATAGATGACCTGGTATCTGTCAGCTCTAAGCCATCAGAGGATAGAAAGACGGATGTTTTCTTGGATGAGGTGAACAAGAAAAATGTTAGTGATAATATAAGGCAGAGAATAGGGAGAAGAAGCTTCAACGTGAGTCGGCTAAAAATCAAACCCAATACTTATCTAAAGTTACACTAGAAGTTGTGACTCCTGTAACCTCTAATCAGACTGGATTGTCTCCCTCCAGCTCTCTAGAAAACAAGCATATTTCATCGCATAGTTCATCTCAGGAAACCTCTCCTTCACCTGTTGTCCGAAAAATACCATATAATCAGAAAGTTGAGCAAGGTATAATTCAGGAAGTGATTTCATTTATTCAAAAATAAGCACTTGCCTCATCAATTAACGCTTCCAAGTTCAATATTGTAGTAGCTGATGGGGAAGGCCAAGATTTGGCTCAATTATTTTCTGATGCTGAAGACGCAGAAGGCAAACGATAAAAGCTAAACAAAAAGAAAATGTACACTGGTATGCTTATAGAGAATCATACGAAAATAAGGTTACAGCTAAAACTGGTGTAGCAAAAAAAACTGCAAAGTCTCAAGTTTACACCATGATTAAAGCTTCTTTACCTAAGGTTTCAGATTCAAATCTGTATAAGAAGACCCAAAGAGCTGGAAGTGTTTATAAGCTATTTGGAAAGATTATTGATCCCGCAACCAAAAAAGAAGTTATGGGATCGATAAAGTTTATGGAATTTCGTATGGAGTTGGGGTTGGTAAAAGTCCTAATTGGTCCTAATTGGTCCTGATTAATTTTAAAAAAATTATTAGTTTTAAAGGTTAAATTTTTTTAAATATTATCATTATATTCAATTTTTTAATTAAAGTTACTTATTAAAATAAGTTTAAATTTCTTTTTAAAATTTAAAATATTTTTAAAATTTTAGAACTAAGACCTAGGTCTTAGAACCAGGTCCTAAATTAAGTATATTTATTATTTTTAAAGGTTTTTTTTTATTTAAATTAATAAAATAATTGATATATAATAATTATTAAAAAGATTTAATTTATTATTAAAAAATTTAATTAATAGTATATAAATTAAATTATCTTTAAATTCTTTAAGACTAATTAGGACTTATTAAGACTTTTATCAATCCTATCTATCGTTCCTTTGTAATGATTTTTTTGATTGTTCAATAAGAACAATGATCTATCGTCCCTTTGGGTCAATTTTTTAAATCGTTCGATAAGAATGATGATTTATCATCCCTTTGGGATGATTTTTTTGATCGTTCAATAAGAATGATGATCTATTATTTCTTTAAGACAATTTTTTTGATTGTTCTTATTAAACAATGATCTATCATCCCTTTGGGATGATTTTTTTGATTGTTCAATAAGAACAACGTTCTATCGTCCCTTTGGGCAATTTTTTAAATTGTTCGATAAGAATGATGATTCATCATCCCTTTGGGACGCTTTTTTTGATTGTTCAATAAGAACAATTATCTATCATCCCTTTGAAATGATTTTTTTAATTGTTTAATAAGAACGATGATTCATAGTTCCTTTGAGACGATTTTTTGGATCATTCTTATTGAATGATAATCTATCATTCCTTTGTGATAATTTTTTTAATCATTCTTATTGAACAATGATTCATCATTCCTTTGGGATGATTTTTTTGATCGTTTAATAAGAACGATAATCTATCATCCCTTTAGGATGATTTTTTTGATTATTCAATAAGAACAATGATTCATCATCTCTTTAGAATGATTTTTTTGATCATTTTTATTGAATGATGATTTATAGTCCCTTTGGAACGATTTTTTAAATTATTTGATAAGAACGATAATTCATCATTCCTTTAGAACAATTTTTTAATCGTTTGATAAGAATGATAATCTATCGATGATTTTTTTGATTGTCGTCACTTTGGAATGATTTTTGATTGTTCTTATTGAATGATAATCTATTGTCTTATTAGGATAATTTTTTAAATCGTTCAATAAGAATGATGATTTATCGTCCCTTTGGGACAATTTTTTTGATCTTTTAATAAGAACAATGATCTATCATTCCTTTGGGATGATTTTTTTGATTGTTCAATAAGAACAATGATTTATTATCCCTTTGGGTCGATTTTTTTGATCGTTCTTATTGAACAATGATCTATTGTCCTTTTAGAATGATTTTTTAAAGCGTTCAATAAAAACAATAATTCATAGTCACTTTGTGATGATTTTTTTGATCATTCAATAAGAACAATTATCTATCGTTCCTTTAGGACAATTTTTTTGATTGTTCTTATTGAACAATGATCTATCATCTCTTTGGGATGATTTTTTAATTCGTTCGATAAGAACGATAATTCATCATCCCTTTAGAATGATTTTTTTAATCGTTTGATAAGAATGATAATCTATCGTTCTTTTGGGATGATTTTTTTGATCGTTCAATAAGAATGATATTTTATCGTCCCTTTAGGATGATTTTTTGATCATTCTTATTGAATGATAATCTATCGTCTCTTTGGAATGATTTTTTTAAATCAGTTTTCTTGAATGATAATGTATCATCTTAAAAGGAATGATTATCTTTATCGTTTCTTAGAAAAGATTTGTATCTTCTTTTAAGGAAAATTTCTATCTAATCAGAATTGAAATTTTGGTTTAACTCTAATTGACCATAAATACGACAGGTTGATTTAGGTTGATTTTTGATTGATTGATGATTATGTCTGATTGATAAATGATTGATGAACGATTTATCACATATCTGATTTTTTGATTTCGATCAGTGTGACTGGTAGATATTTGATATATTACTAAATAAAATAATACAATTCATTATATTTTAAAGTATTAACAATTGACCAAAATATAGTCTAATTCTGCTGATTATTACAAAAAAATCAGCATTTTGAATAAATAGAAAATTGTTTATTAATCAGTATTAATATTAAATTAGTTTAAAATCAGCATAAATCAGCTTAAAATTGATCAACAATTAGCTTAAAAATAGCTAAAGATCATTTAATAAATTATTTGTAAAATCAAAACTAATAAAACTTATTTTTATTTATTTATTATTTATAATTTTATTTTATTATTACATAATAAATTACTAAAAAAAGAATATATATTTCATTATATTTTATTCAAAGGTATATTTGATTTTTTTAAAGATAAGAAAAATAAAGAAAATAGTTAAAAACCTATCAAAAACTACTTATAATTACATATCTTAATGAAAAAATAAAGAAAACAATTATAAAAACCAAAAAAATCACCTTTGATTTACTTATCTTAATGTAATTCTAAATAAAAAATAAAAATAAAAAAAAAATAGTTAAAAAAGTTAAAAACCATTCAAAAATTACCTTTAAAAGGTTTACTTTAGTTTTAAAAAAATAATTTTTTTAAAAAACAAAGAAAAATAAAGAAAAAGGAGTTAAAATACATCTAAAAGATACTTTCAATTTGCTTTCCTTAATTCAAATAAGAATTTTTTAAAAAAAAAAGAAAAGAGAAAGAAGAAAGTTAAATTTTCATCCAAAAATTACTTTATTAAAAAAAAAAAATTTTATTTAAAATATTCTACAAGTTTATCAATTTTACATTGTAAATTGAATTAAAATTTAGATTAATTTAAAATTTAGATATCTTTATTCATTAAAAATGCAATTTATCATAAATACTCAAAATGGATGATTTTATATCATTTGATTGAAATAATAACAAATTATTCAAAAGGAATAATAGTTTTAATTGCTCTTTCAAAATGATAATAAAATCATTCAAAAGTAATAATAATTTAAAAAATTATTCTTTCAGAATGATATTTTGATTAATCCTTTAGAATTATAATAAAATTAATAATAATTTAATTATTCCTTAAGAACTATAACACAAATTATTATTTCAGAATAATAGTTTAATCATTCCTTAAGAATAATATAGATAATTATTCTTTTAGTATGATAATTTGATTATTTTTAAGAATGATAAAAAAATCATTCCTAAATTAATATAGAAAATTATTCTAAAGGAATGATAGTTTGATTATTCTAAAAGAATGATAACAAAAATCATTTTTTGGAATGTTAATTTTAAAAATAATATAAAAATTATTCTAAAGAACGATAGTTTGATCATTTTAAAATAATGATAAAAAAATCATTGTTTTTTTCAAAATGATAATGATAAAAAGAATTATTCTGAATGAATAATAAAAAAAAATATTATTCTTTTGAAAAAAACAATACAATATCATCTTTTTAGTAATAATTTTTTGTTTCTTTAAAGTAATTTTTATTGTCTCTTAAGAAACAAATGTATCATTTTTTTTTGAAATAATTTCTATTGTTTCTTAGAAATGATTATATCATTCCTTTAAGAACAATTTCTACCATCTTTTTAGAAATAAATGTATAATTTCTTTGGAATGATTTTTATTGTTTTTTTAAGAACAATTATTCACACTTAGAACATTTTCTATTGTTTTTTTAGAACAAATATATTGTTCCTTTGTAATGATTTCTATCATCACTTTTAGATAATTACTCTCAAAATATTTTTATAATTTTAACAAAAATCAGCCTAATTGAATTTAACTAGTAATATACAGTTGGTTTATTATCAAATTTTGAGTTGTTATTCAGAAGACTATAAATAAAACTTAAACAATATAATTCAGTCCTTCAAATTAATCACAATAATTTTATCACAATCACGCTTATATGAAGACACAGTAAAAAGTAATAGTAAATAAATAATAAATATTTTTATTGAATTCTTATAAAACATAATTGTGAGTTAACTTTTAACTCAAAAAAAAACATGCTATTTATATAAAATAAACTAATAATAATATAATATAATAAATATATCTAATATAATAAATTTAATAAATAAAATAAATCTATTGGATATAAATATTTAATAAAATTAACAAATATAATAAATATAATAAATATGGATTATAGGTCGAATATGATTAATCTGTCATATTTGTTAACAAAGTCAATTATAAATTTAAAGACCAATGTTTAATGAACTTTTAATAATGCTAATCTTGCAGTTAATAAAGTCTAACTGAAATTTTCTGAATACTATACTAAAAGGTATTAGTGATAAAATATGTATAATGTAATAAATTACTATTAATTTTTGTATATCAAGCTGAATTTTGTCAAATCATATGAGTGAATCAGCTAAATATTTGACAAAAGATCTTATGTTAAAATAATATTAAATTATACGTTGTATAATAAATTACTATTGATTTTTGTAATTTAAGCTAAATTTTTTCTGAATTATATGGCTGAATTAGCTAAATATTTATGAATATATCATTCTTTATATACTTAGATTCTTAAATTTTTAGGATTGGTTTTCATCTGAATATTTCATCATTAGTTATACTTCAAATACAAAACATCAATTAAAATATCTAGATTTTAGCATATAACTTGAAGCTATTTTAAAATCAAATTGAGTTCTTAGTTTTAAGTATTTGATATAATAGTAATCTAAAATTTTACACTATATTTTATCAAAATATTTATAATACTTTAATATTAATTAATAGATCCTAATTAGGTTTCTTTGAAGTGTTTTTTCAAATAAGTAAAACTAATACTGTATAATATTCTACTTCACAAAATTCAATACTACTTATTTTAACTTAAACTAATACATCTAACCTATTTAATAATAAAGATTACAATTTAGATTAATTATTTAATATAAGTATCAATAATATAAATATGGGCGTACGTCAATTAAAAAGGGGGAAATCCATAATTTCATTATTTTGAGATAAATGAAAAAAATGTAATAAATCACAACGTTGAGAAGTGTAGATCACTCGTGTAAATTGATTTAAATAGGAATAATCTATAATAAATGAGTCAAAAGCAGTATAAATGTATAATACAGTAATTAAATAGTTTAAAAAAAACAATTTTTTTTTATTCTCCTCAAAAACTTACAACAGTGTAAAACTTTTACAATTCGAATTTTTGAAACTCTTTTAAAGCATAATTAATGTTCTTTCTATTTTCTTTTTTAGAAATAAACTTGAGACTTAAAAATGAATCCTAAAGTAATTGAAGTTCGTTCGTTTTAAATTTTTTTATTAGTTAGGAATTTTTTATTTTAGGGAATGTAATTAACATTCCTTTCTTTTTTTTTATAGAAACAGAATCTAGACGAACGGATGAATTTCGGGGAACATAATAAACGTTCTTTCACTTTTTTTTATAGAAACAGAAATGAAAAGCACTGATTAATAAATACCAAATTCCTTACTACTGAACGACTGGAACTCCCGGCAATTGTTTAGTGCCAATCCCTTACTGAATGGATGAAGTTGATCGAACGGTCCCTAAGCGAACTAGGTAAGTTCATTCTTTGTTTTTCTGTTGTTTTTTTTTATTTCAGGAAACGTAATTAACGTTCCTTTCTCTTTTTTTTTAGAAATAGAACCTAAATAAATGGACAAAGCTAAATGAATGATCCCTGAACGAATAAGGTAAAAGTATGTTCGTTCTTTATTGTTTTTTATTTCAGAGAACGTTACTAATGTTCTTTTTTATTTATTTTGTGAGAGCTGTCTCTGGACTTCGAAATGGACGAACCTGAAGGTGGTAAGAGATTTTTGAAGGGATTTTTTTGTTTTCTGTTCTTTTTCTTTATTTTGTAGAGGAAGGTCTCTTAGACTTCAAAATAAGTGAAAATAATGGGGAATAAGATGTTCTTTGATTACTTTGTCTTGAAAACGTTTCTAATGTTTCTCCTTTTTTATTGAGATTTAGATTTCAGACCAGATACAGATCAGATCAGTTTGATTCATATCAAATTCAGATCAGATTGAATTAGTTTAAAATGGATTTCAGACCTGATCTAAATCAAACTTTATAAATCTGATTCAGTTTCAGTCAGATCAGTTCATGAACAAAAAAAATCAGATCAGAACACTAGACAAACTCTTAGAATGCTTTTTGAGGGAGGGTAAGGTTTACTTTATATCTTTTATGAATTGGAAATTAAGAAAATAATTTTAATATTTTTCTTTTTATTTTTTTTTTTTTAGAAATGGACTAAATAATATTCATTGGATTTTTTGAGAATCTTTTTAATATTTAATGAAAACGAGATCGAAAAGTTTTTAATTATTCTTTTTTCTTCATTTCATTCATTACTAATTTTTTTTCTTCTAGGTTTAGTTTAATTGCATAAACAATGAAAGGTTGGTTTTTTTATTTCTTCTTTACTTTTTGTGTTATACTAAATTTTTTTTCTTTTAGATCTTTAGTTCATAGAACCATGTACAATATGAACGAAAAAATGAACTCTGATCTGATGACTAAACTAACACGTAATTTTCAAAGGAGATTTTATGCTTATAATAAGCTGTCTTAGCAAATCAGTTGCTTTATAACTGAATTATTTATTTTATTTTTTTCTTATATTTGTATTTTATTATAATAAAATATTTAATATTCAATAAAAATACTAACGCTAAGATAATAATTTAATTTTTCATTTTTGGTTGAGTTTTTGGCTTTGCAATGGAAGGCAATGGACAATACAAATCTTGCTTAGATAGATCTTGAATATGTTGTTGCATTTTCTCATAAAGATATTATTGCCATTCTGTTGTTATCCCTTTTGTTATCATTTCCTTTGAAAATGATAAGCAATTTATACCATGTTCTTTCTTTTTCAAATTTATTAACTGAGATCCTTCATTTATTGCAGTCTTAATTTCTACAAAATCTATTCTATCCCAATTCAGTACAAAGTGATGTTGCTTTTTAATTTGTGGAACCAGATTAAAATAATTAACTAAGAATTCAGTCTAACCATAAAAAAACTTCTCATTATCCATTGCTGTTGAAAATGGTTTGTGCTATGTTATATCTGCCAACAGTTATTTTTTAACTACTTTAATCAAGTCCTCTATATCATCAACTTCTGAATGTCGCAACTTTAATTTAAACAATCCAAAAAATCCATCAGGTGTGAACTTAGTATGGCTAGCTACCATAAATGAATATGTAATTTTTTCATGTAAATTATTAGTAATACGCCATGTCAGATACATAATCATCGCATTATTTTTGTTTTGCCCTGTGCAATTATTTGCGTGAATTATCACCCTTTTTTCACCCAAACCATGTTTTTCAAAATAATGATGAAATATTGAGATTGTTGTATTTGCGCCCTTTCCAACATTTTCTTTTTTCAGAATCAAGTAATTGACCTAATATAAAAACAATTAATATAATAATTAAAAAAATTATACTAAAAACAACAAATTACTAACTTGTCTTGATGTACCATCTTCACAAATACCAAAAATTTGTACTTTATAAAGACTCTTAAAATATGTCGCTCCCTATTTAAAAATAATAAAGTTAAACTTTGTAAAAATTAAACTATAAAAGTTATATTAATTTTACCTCTTGTTGTGAAGAATATGGAATCCGAATAGCCTCTGCAAAATCCCAGAATTTATAATTCTCAAAATCTTGAGAATTAGGTATACCTGAACGTGAAGCATTTTGATATTCTTACAGTGCTAATTTAGAATTTGCTACGCAGTTCCTATACAAAAACAAAAAATTTAGCAAATTAAATAAATACAATAATAAAAATTCTAAAAAAAATTATCTAAAATTTTCTCTTTCTAGCTGAGCCCAAAGAATGTGTCTATTCCACTCTTCTATTTTTTGTTCCACTTCTGATGCTGACCACATCTGTGAATTAAATCACATGATTTTGCATTTGTAACATAAATCATTACGCAGAGACAAAAACTTTATACCTGGTAAATATTTTTGCCATATTTAACAAAATGTTCGAATACTTACAATTAAAGATTCACTGTAACTAGTATCATATTCTATTGTATTATTATATAAGCACTAAAGTGATGCATAACTTTCACTTGCTGGTATATATGTAACTGCTGTAGTTGCTTCTTGAAAATGGCAGCCTGTTTAAGAAATAATTATTGTTAATTAAAAGGAATTGATAAAAAAGCATATGCATAAAAAATTTAATAAAAAAATACCTGGTGATGGAAGTCTGTATACACTTGCATAATTGGTTACAAATGTTAAAATTTGTAAAACAGTTTCAAAGAGTATGGCATTGTTACTTTTTCGACCAGTTAAGCCATGTTTGATTGGAGAAATATTATGATCGATATAATGTTTACGTACATTCTCCCATTTTCTTTTTCCAATACTATAAATTATTAAAAAAGAAATCATGCATATTTTGAGGCCTTCGAAATAGTAATCACTAGTTAAACTTTTTTCTTTTATGCTTACTCGAACATTGGCATTAAGTATTCCTAATAAAAACATGTTTTGCTGACTTTTATTTAACTTTTGAAATAATTGATATTTTTTTATAGCTATCTTATGATTAATCACATTATCAATTAAGCAATTCTTTGAGCAACAAGAAGAGGTCTTAAGTTTTTTTTCAAGTGCTTCGATATCTTGTTCTATCAATTTTTTATTAAATTGCAAATCTTCAGGTAGTTCACTTTCTCCATCATGATGCAACGGTGGGTCTTTTTTTCAAATTTTATGAAATTTTTCAATTTGAGTTTTAGTGAAAATCGATTGAGCTGCATTATCATCTTTAGGTATTATTACTAATATACTCTCTTCATCATCTTCATCAGCATTGGTATTATTATCATCATAAACAATATCAAACTTATACTCTTCTTATAATTGTTGTAATGCAGTATTTAATTTATGAAGTTCTGTATATACACTAAACTACATTAAATTACCAGATTTTTTTATATATATTAAAATTATATATAAATTACAATTTTAGTTA